GCCGCCCCGCCCCCTCGGGGAGGAGATGGGGGAGGGGTTCCTTCCTGCTTCCTCTTCCCCCGGGCGTCGGCAGGGCGGCCGCTCCCCGGGCCCCCGTCGCGGGGCCCAGAAGCACGACCCCCTCCCGGGGTAGATTGTTCCCCCCTGCGGCTCCCGCCCGCGCCATCGTGGCCTCGAGGAGCCCGCTCCTTCGACACCCCGACCGCCTGCATGATGGTCAGGATGAAGGCGCGGTCTGGATCGCTGTAGAGGGGGAGGACTCCTTGAGGAATTAGGGATGCCTCCACGGAGCTGAGATTCAGCACCCGTTGGACCACTATCTTGAAGTCCTCAGGAGCCCAGTCCCATCTGAACCCCTGGTGGGTCCTCATACAGTCCTCGGACCCGGTGTACTCCCAGGCGCCCCGGGCGCGCCGCTGGAGTGGCGCGATCCGGCGACGAAGATAGTCGCCGAACACCATGGCCCCTGTGAGCCCCTGGGATCGCAGGCCCGCCAGGCGGTCGAGGACGGCGTCGTAGCCATCTCCCAGATCTACCGGCGCCCGCCAGTTAGAGGCCTGCGCTGGAGGCTGGCTCGGAAGTCGGAGGCGCGCTTCGTCGGCGAGGGGGGTGTAGAACCAGTCGCTCTTCCAGTCATCCCACTTCTTGCGGAGGAAGCAGGGAATGTAGCGGTTCAGCACCGGCCCCCGCGGCTGGAAGTAGCAACCACCGACCACCGACGGCGGCGACACCGGCTGTACGGTGAAGAACCACCGGAACAGCCGAAGGGATGGGCGCACCCCGATGAACATCTCGCACAGGTGCGCGAAGATGCCCAATGTCATTACCGCGTTGGGGGTGAGGTGCGCCATCTGGAGATCGTAAAACTCCAGAACATCCATGAAGAAAGAAGAAAATGGCGGAACCAGCCCTGCCATAGCAAAAGGGAGGAAGAAGACGGACCGCCCCGGGTAGCGTGGCGCCGGGCATCCCTCGCCCAGCGAGACTATCTCCCGGCCGGTGGCAGATTCCGGCATGAAGCGGCGCGGCAGCCCGGCCTGTCTCTCGCTCACGATGCGGGAAGGCGGCAGCACGCTACCGTCAAGCGGAGCGGAGCCCCGTGCCATGACGCTGGAAGAAGAGATGTTTGAGAGCGAGCGCGTGTGGCGAAGGTAGGGCACAGGAAACAAGGAGTTAGGGCGCAAGCGGCGAAGACAAGGGGAATAATGGCGAGAGGAAGGAAGCAAATCTCTTCCTCGGCGACTTTATACCCTTGCCAACGCTGTGCCCGGCTCCTCGTTTCTCGCGCCCACTATCTTGCCCCCTCGTTTCTCGCGCCCACGCTTCCACTAATCCCATTCACCCGTTTGCGGTGCATGAGGTGGATATGCGGCTGTGCCAGTCGAGATGGAACATCTCGTGCGCGCGTTAATTACGCTCGCCGACCGAAGCGCCATCACCATATCTCCAGGAAAAACGAACCGGCTTGTCCTGATTTTTAGACCGGCCCCACCTGTCACCAGGCCTTAGGAAGTGGCGTCACGCCCGACCGCTTCCCTCGAGGAGGGCGATCGCCCTGGCATAACGCCGGGGGCTACTGTCGGTGACATGGGACCGGGAGTATCATGACTTAGAGACTTGAGGCAGACACGATCACCCACGTGGCCTAACCCCCTCGGGGGGGGGGGGGGGTCGGGCCCGAGGGTGATACGGCCGCCCTTCTCTTTGTCTCCCCGAGGGGTCGGACCGCTCCCGTCTCGGCCCCGAGGGCCGAGGCGCCCCGATCCCTTGTGGGTTTTGCGCCGCGTATATGGGGTAGGTGAGCATAGCGGGGCTCACCTAACCACATTTATTGCGGTTTGGACGAGCGCGTCACGCCGCATGTAACGCAGTGCAGCGCACTCGTTTATCCGGTCTGTGACCAGTCACAGACCGATCAGATCGTGGGTTAGGTGGCGACAGGCGGTCTGACGCACGCCTCGTCCCATCCCGTCAGGATGAGAGCCTCCAAGCACTCGTCCCTAGCCGGAGCCGGCGTGTTAGCTCCTGGAGATGGCACGTTGGTCCCGGTCAGATATATACCAGGCTTCATCCTAACCATTACAAGCAAGACATTGTATGAAGAGGGGCGAACATGCAGATTGTTAAACTGACACGTGGTGGACAAGAATGACCGATTTATGACCGGTCTGACAATGGTCATGTCGTCAGCAGACAGCCACGTTCCCATGTCGCGCCTGCTTCCGGCGGAAGTGGAGGTAGGTATGGGCCGTCCCATCAGAAGGTCATTCGGACGGCAGCCATACAAATCTCCGTCCATTAATGAAGAGAAGTCAAGTTGGAGGGAAGAGAGGATGAGTCCCCACACAAAAGAAAGAGAGGGAGAGATGGTGCATGTGGTATCCCCTTGAGATATAAAAGGAGGACCTTGCCCACTTAGAGAGAAGAGGAAACGATCCCAGAACGATCGAGGGCTGGCTCACACTTTGTAGCTTCTTCATACACAGATCCACCAAAACACAGGAGTAGGGTATTACGCTTCTCAGCGGCCCGAACCTGTATACATCGCCCGTGTCTTGTGTGTTTCCACTCTCGCGAACTTTCCACAGGCTAGGAGCTTAGAACCTCACTCAGGGCCCCCGGCCGAACCGGCAAAGGGAGGCCTGCGCGGTCTCCCGGTGAGGAGCCCCCACGCTCCGTCACCTACGGTGTCTCTTGATACCGTCAGGAGATACGAAAGCGCTATCTCTGATCTCACCGGGCACGGATCCGAGGAGGAAGGCTACCCTGTTGTCGACTACGAGTCAGACCTTCAGACCAACATGTCGACAACAGTTAGATAGGCTGCCCACATATTGTACTGGTGTGATTATGGTGAATAAGAGCAATACCGTCTTCGGCCAACAGGATGTAGGGTTATTACCTGACTACTCAGGGGCCCGAACCTGTATAAAAATCCCTGTGTCCATCTCTTTTACCTCAGTCTCGCGTATATCCTAGCACCAACGATCCCCATACTGTCCAAATACCGTAGTCGAGACATCAAACGTCGACAAATAGCAATCTAATAGATCGGACCGAACCAAGACAATATAAAATTGAAGGTAATAAGAGAAACCTATTTAGCCGATAGATCCACAAACATGATGGATATAGTGATCAATCTAAAACAAATTAAAATCAATGTGATTAGAAGAATATCAACTTAGTCAGAAATTAGACCTAACAAAAAAAATTCTAACCATTGCTTATGGCAATTTAGGTCTTTTTAGGGAGGTTAAAATTCTAAAATTCTGCTGGTTGGTAGTCATCTTTTAAGAATCTAAAGTAGTTAGGTTTTCTAGCTCATGGTTTCTAGGGGTATGTTTGAGAAGCTTCTAACAGCTGTAGCTTTTTATCCAGATTCTTAAAAGCTGTAGTTGTGAAATCTGGTTGGCACTTCCGAGAGGGCTTAGAGATGGAGGAGGGGTTTTTCAGCCTCTAGTTCATTTTTCAGCTTAAAAATCTTAAACTCTCCCAAACAAGATCTAGTTTATTTTCCACGATCTACATCTACATATTGTAAAAATCTAAGTAACAATCTGGACTGTTTGAGGGAGCTGAAGATTTTGTGGGAAGCTGCAGCCAATATAAATTCTCCCAAAAAGACCCTTAGTAGCTATACGCGAGATGAGCACTTCAATCGGGCAACATAACAATTTTTTCTTATTTTTATATTTTTTATTAAAATATTTTTTAAAAAATATTCGTTTAAAATATTTAAAAATCTAGACGCCCCACGCCCTCTAAGAGGGCTTTTTTTAAAAAAAAATATCGTCCTTCCAGAGGGTGTTAAGGAATCTAAATACAAAGTTTTTAATTGTGTTCAAATCTTTTCTGTTCGTTTTAATTGATTAAAAATAGTAATGCTTATCAGACACTCGAAATGATTTTAAATGGAAAAGTAATAAACTACAAAGTTGTAGATATCATCAAGATCTATAATTTTTATATAAAGTTCATCTCCATCCAATATCATTTGAAATATAGATATGAGATTTTGTTAAAATTGGTTTTATATTTTGTAATGAATATTTAGACATCTAAACGATCTAAGATAAAAAAAAGTTGTTAACTACTCCCTCCATCCCATAATATAAGAGATTAAAGATAGATGTGACACATCCTAATACAATGAATCTGAACAGATGGTGTGTCCAGATTCATGTACAATGATGTCACATTCACATGAAATCTCTTATATTATAGGACAGAGAGACTACAACGTTGTAGATCTCCTCCACAAGAGTGTGAAACATCTAGATTTGTAAATTTTTAAAATAAAAATTATTTTTTAAATATCTTTACTATTATAAAAATTGAAGATGTTTCTGCGGCCCGTCATCCGTGTTTGAGTCGGTTATAAAAATTGAAGATGTTTCCGCGGTTCATCATCCGTGTTTGAGTGATTGAGTCGATTTTAATTTTATGTTTTTGATTTTAATCTATATCTCTTCTCTACTTATTATAAAAATTGATGATGTTTTTGCCAGTATTTTGGTACATCATCCGTGTATCAGTCGGTTTTTAAGTTCATTTCCTTTTGGAAATACATATCCGTATTTGAGTCGGTTTTTTAAGATCGTTCACTTTTGGTAATACAGAAGGAATTATATAAGGAATATGTTTAAAAAAACTTGCATACTAACCTGAGACAATCGGACTCCTAACTACAGCTTATCATTTTCTAAAAATATATATATCCAAGCGAACTCCCACAGTAAATTTCATCTTAGCTAAATCATATAACAATAATAAGATTAAAATAGACTTCACCCGTTACAACGCACGGATATTTTTTCTAGTTTTAATAAAAAATTTAAAAGTAAAAGACATGCGTGCATGAGGGCCCTTGCATTATATAAGCGGGCCATCGGGCCGACATGTCGCTCGCCGACGGACGGGGCCAGCCTGCTCACTCACGGGTCGCATCGAACAAAAGCGACGGTGGCACATCGCGATCTGGCGACGGTACGGTGGCACGCCGCGCACGGCCGGCGCCGGCGTCGGTGCCCCCTTATAAAATCCGCCGGTGCGCGCGCTAGCTAGCTTGTGACTACGCGACGTCGCCACCCACCATACTAGTCCATCTCGATCCGTCCGTTCGTGCGTGCGTGCGTCCATGGCGGCCTACAAGAAGGGCATCATGATCAACAAGGCGTCGGTGGTTGCCGCTTTTTCAGCGGCGTGGCTCCTCCTCCTTGTCCTCGTCGTCCTCCTGGCCGACGAGGCCGCGGCGGCGCCGGCTGGCCGTGAGGCCGCGGCGGCGTGGATGAGGAGGCTGGACGACACGGTGGAGCCGGAGCCGCTGCCGGCGGAGCTGGACAGGGTGCAGAGGCGCGTCTTGCAGGCGACCAGCCACTACGTAGCTCCGAGCGCGCTGAATCCGGATCGCCAGGGTTGCATCCAGTCCTGCCTTCCGGGCAGTCAGTACAGTGTTCCACCGCCCGGATCGCACTGTAATCGTAAATACTACAACCAGGGCTGTTGACTACTGCAACTACTGGTGATTCTGATCACTGCAAATTGAATTCTATCCTTGTGCATGGATCCCGTACTGCTTATACTTAATAAAACCTCAAAGCGACGATGTGTATATATCACTTTTTCTACGGACGTCGAACCTCTGTAATTTGAACATCTCGGGCGGCCGATCGATTTGCTATTCGTCGACGATCCCTTCTATTATCCCAAGTTTGTGCTTAAACAGTTTGTGCCCGTCATCAGCAACGACTTAGTTTCCCTTTCTTTATTTCGACGAGATTCATCTACTTAACTAGTAGGGAGCCCGCGCTTCGCCGCAGGAGCATAGACAACATAATAAACTCTTCGGACCTCCAGAGTTGCAACTTAAATAGTGACTATTGTATGAACCCAATAAAAATACAAAGGACACCAAAACAGCATGATAGTTTAAATAGGCACACGTACTGCTTGATCTAAACGGCCAGCGAGTACAATTCATCGCATGGGCACAATGCAGCAGTCAATCTGGTATCTTGTTCTTCTTTGAACCAATATTCCTGTATAGAGCAGATTAATCATGAGTAATCTCATTCCAGAAGTTAACTTAAAATGTATTGGGAAGGAGCCAATTGCTGAAGGCTGCATACAAATCATTGAACTGGTCATAAAAGAACATGAAGATTAATGCAACTCTGGTCTAACTGCATGTTGAAGCAACCGAACTAAATACATATCATCTGCAGGCCAGTGTCTGCATTGAAATCAATTTCCATTTCCATTTTGTCTTAGAGAAACTGAAACTACAGCGCCCCTGAAATCTAGATCCAATTATTTAGTACTTTAAATAGCAGGGAGGTACATTTCCCATGCTATAGTCACTATCCATATCTCCATTCTATTTCAATCCAGCAAGTTGAAGGCTAACATGTGAATGACTGAAGCACATGAAAATTTATAATTCAACTGGGAAAAAAACCATTTAGTAACACATAAGATTTGAGCTTTCAGTGCAAGGATCGAAGCTAGTACAGTTGACCTTTGAAACAATGTTGAATGGTCTTTTTTCAGCATTGGTAAAAGTGCAGCACATGATTTCACTGCAATGTGCATAATAAAGCTGAAAGCAAAACGAAAAGGAAGCTATATGCCCAATACCATCCAATTTATACTAACTATGTCTGCCTGTTAAAGTATTGCAGAGACTATGTGTTATATAAATTATTGGCATAGTGAAGGTAACTATGGTCTAATTAAATCAGTAAAAACTGCATATGGATAATTGAGCATAGGAAAAGATGGTCCTACCAAAAATACAAATACCAATTCATTATGTTATGTACTGTTGGAAGCAGAGCTTTTGAAGTGAGGCATCATTACAATTAACATTTTCGAGTTACAGAGCTAGAACGACATCATTAAAATTAGTCACTGTATAAAATACACTTTCAAAGGAGCATGTTGCATGGCATTGTGTAAATAATTATAATAATGGTAAGCAAGAAAGCTAAACCTGAATTAGGACACGAAGATGCACATGACTAATTAAACCGGTAAAATCTGAGCAGAGCATTGCTTAATTGATAAAGACTTATACAAAAGGGAGGCATAAAAAGAAGTGCTAGTGATGCATATACCAAAAATTTGTTCAGTTGGAACACTAACATTTGTGGTACTTAAAGTAAGACTAACATATTTGGTAACTGCATAGTTGGATGGCCTTTTTAGATGTAAAGATGCTTACCAGCTTGATGAAAAAGGATGAAGGAATGTTCCAGCACAGGCCTATATAAATCAAGTACGAAGAAATAAGGTAAGGAAACATAAGCAGTAAGATAGGAGATATAGCAGTATCTGGTCGTAGATATTCTAACGAAAAATCATAACAATAACATAAGCACCTCATGCAAGAAAGGTGAGCAGTAAAGAAGTATGGATAGTAGTGCAATTTGGTTGTTTGTATGAATTAGCAATGGAAACTTATGGATCTACTATGTCTGATTTTGTACATGTCACACGGTAGGCAAGCTTATACGGAATGTGTAAAGATAATTATTTATTAAAAAAACAGAACAACAAATATACCATGAGGCTGCCGTAATAGGCGAGCGTGCACACGACAGGCAGATGAGTGCTGGAAATCGGTGGGAAAGTCACTGTTGGTAGCCAGCAGCGAACGCTTCCGGCATCGTCAAGTAACAGGTGCACTATGGAGCTCCTGTAGCTCTAATAAAGTAGTAGAATGGTAGGATTAGGAATCCTATAATTATAAAGCATGCAACTAATAGAATAAACACCACATAAGCTCATCTCACAAATTAAGGAAGATCGATGAAATAGGAACACAACATCTAAAATAAGGAGTTTGCAGTACGCGATAATCGCATAGGCAAGCATATCAATGGGCACCAACAAAGGTAAAAACAAAAACTGAAATTACAAAGCGGGTATATGGTGTACTCTTACCAGGAGGTTGAATAGACAAATGTCGTCGAACAGAACATGTAGATGGCAAATGGAAACTTGTAGGAAAGCAATCATCGATGTTCTGCACCGTATACTCTTGCTGAGAGGAAGCAAGACTCGACATAGTGCTGGAACAACTCTAATTTAGAAGGAAGGCAAAAATATAAATGCATCATTACGTATAGTAAATGATATCTCAATTAGTTTCAGATGCTATATACATGTTAGATAGGAAAGGGGGGTATCCGCATAAACAATATGAAATTATGAAGCAAAAATTATCGTCAGCTAAATGCATCTCACAGTGTTTTCAATTAAATGCTGCTGTAACAAAAATTATTGTTAAGTAAATGCATTTCACAGTGTTCTGAATTAAATGTTGATGTAATTCTTCATGGACTATACCGGCAGCTTGGACAGATGGACGGCGCTGCACCAAACGCGCATGAACTGAAAGAAAGCCTAAAGGGAAGCTGTTGTTGTCAAATGGCGGTGTGCCATCTGATGATATGCAGGCGTCACTACTGCATCCAACATCTGTAAACAACAAAGCCAGTATAGACATTTTGCCTGAGCTTAATCCACCAAAAGTGGAAGTCATAGAGAATTAGTACACACAACAAAATAAAAAACATATAAGCTCTAAAATTTGTCATACCATGACTGTGACTCCGTTTACGACTTGCATGAAGCAGGAATGCCTTAGAAGATTTAGACATTGTAGTATCCATGTGAAAAACATGGCTAAATTGTTCCGGAAGCACAGATAAACATGGCCTGAAACATAGCATAATCAGCGGATAGCTAATGTAAGCATAGATGTAATATCAGTAAATCCCCTTGAGCCTAAAATAAACCATACATTAGCAGCTAAGCAGCAAGCATTTCATTCCTAACCAAAGAATGCAAAGACAAAAGCAACACAGTATAATCAAGATAAATAAAACATGATAACCAATATTTCAGAATCATCTGAAAACACAATAAACATCAACACCCTAACCAAGTAACTTCACCATATGATGCAATGGAACCTCACAATGGGCACCCACCATTACCGCCGAGCAGATGGCCTATGGCTGAGCACGAAACATAGTTTGGCCTATGTTCAAACTACAGTAAGAACATGGTAAGCTAGCCAAGCACTCAGAGGTCAGAGATGAGAGAGATGGACCGGCGGCGAAGCATACGCACCTATCGGTGAAGGGGAGGGAGCACCTGCAGCCGCGGGCGGCCGTCGATTCCGTTGGGGACGGTGCGCCCGGCCGATGGACACGGACGCCGGCAGCTGTTGATAGAACGGCGGGCCGATGGCTGAGGACGACCGCAGTGGAATCAACGATTGCAGTGATTTCAGCTCGATGGGATAGAGAGACAATAACAACCTAGGAAGAAACGACGGCGACAATTTCTGCGAGGGTGAAAGGGATATGTCGATCTGGTGAGGGGAAAGGCGAGCAGTGAAAACCCACGGGGGAGCGACGACGGCGGAGATGCCAAGGAAGCCGCGGGCAGCAGATGGGGACATCGAGACCTAGAAGCTGCGGCTGGCTGGAGTCGCTGCGAACGATACTGGTAGGCTGTAAAGAAGGAAAAAACGAACGGCCGGATCCAGTCAAGCAAACAATCAAACGGCGTCATGGCATAATGCAACAGTGAAACAGTAAAACAGTAGCGTACAGTGCCGGACGGCTGTGGTTGCAACGGCAAAAACTATAGATTTTATATGATATGATGCAGTTTTTTTTGGTTGTGCAGCCTTTTACCTTATATGACATGTTTCACTGTATGATATGTTACCTCAATTTCACATTGTATGACATGCATGTTTCATTGCATGTACAAATATAATTGTTAATTCCTCAATGGACCAAAAGATACTGCTCATATCTGTCGCAGTCTCGCTGATAAATTAAAATAGCCCAGAATACACGTCTGGTGACAAGCATCCAGCAGCAACCGGCCAACGGTGCCCGGGCCGGGCAGGCAGTTCACGAGCAGCTAGGAACCAAGATTGATGGCATGCACGTACACTTTCCCCATCACGTAGGCCGTCCAGCATGCCCTGGGATTCTGGGATTCACGCCGCCCCAAATAATCGATATCCTTAATCAATCGGCCGCATTAGAGCAGGTACAATAGTAGACTATAAGCCAGCTGTAAATATATTTTAAGAAGATAAATGAAGAGAGAGAAGAGCAGCGGGCTACAGATTTATAGCCAGCTGTAGCATTACTCCAAGACACAATGTGTGTATGACAGGCGGGACCAGGTATTAATAGTGTAGTATGTAACTCTTGTATGAGTAAGCTGTTAGATTGGCTATAGATGAATTAGAGCTAGTAGTTGGCTAAGAGCAAGTTTAATAGTATAGCCCACTACTAGCTCCAATTCATCTATAGCCAATCTAATAGCCAATTCATATAATAGTTGTTTACTATACTATTAATATATGGTTCCATCTATCATACACACATTGCGTCTTGGAGTCCGTGCAGTAGCTGGCTACAAATCTGTAACCCGTTGCTTTTCTCTCTCAACTTTTATCTCATTAAATATATTTATAGCTGGCTAATAATCTGCTATTGTACCTGCTCTTTGTTCCAGGCTTGCAGAGCCACACGGCTGCAAGCCTGCGAAGCACCAAATGACATGTAGGAATCAGCATCATCACAAGTACCGGTTTATTTAAATCGGAACATATTACAGGACATATGAGTTAGTGTGTGTATATATATATATATATGCGTCCCGTCGAGGAGGGTGTGCCAACGGAGCGTCAGCGCAGGGCCCCACAAAAATTCGGGGCCCACAAATCAGAGAGACCAGTACAACCAGCCAGTCTTAGCATGTACAACTGATGTCATGTGTGTGTGCATGTGCATGCATGCGAACCAGCTTCTGAATCCTTGATCAATAGTGACGATGCCCGGAGCAGCTGGCCGACTACCTCATCTATCATTTCGGCCGAAGTAATATCGTATGGAGGGGCCGAAATGATCAAAATTTTTAACCCTGCTCTTTCATAGGCTGTCGGCTGCTACATGTAAAAATATATTTTGATCGTTTGCATAATAATTGAGAAACAAAAGAACAAATTGATCTATAGTTTTTTTCAGTTGATATATTTATATATCGAACTTAAGGATGGAGTGTTAAATTTAATAACATAATTATCTCAGTCGCTTCAAATTCCAGAGGTGCGCATAGAGATAGGGTGTACGTGTGTGCTCATATGTGTGTGCTTATATGGGAAAGTGTGCGCGCGTTATAAGCGACTGCATTTGTACTGTGTTTCTCAAAAAAGAAAAATATTTCCTCCATTTTAAAAAAGGGAAAAATCTATTCTAAAGTCTTCGCTTTGTCTAAAATAAAACCCCAAACTCTAAAACCGGGTATTTGGCACCTCAAACTTTTAATACCATTCACTTTACCCCTCGGTGGTTTTTACTTTGGTATTGGTACCTTAGGATGCCACGTCAGCATGGCGTGAGAGGGGGTCCCACCTATCAGTACGCTATCTTCTTTCTCCTCTCTCCCCTCCCTCCCTCTATAGGCTCTCGAGGAAGCCATGACAGATGAAAGTCCACCCACTCGCCGAACTCGGAGAAGATGGAATCGGTGATAAGCTTGATAGGGAGCCCACCCTTTTGCCTGAGCTAGTGAGCTCAGGAGAAGAGGGGATCGGCGGCGATCTCGAAATGAAGCCTGCCCTGTTGGACGAGGTTAGAGAAGACAAGGATGACGGTTCTTTGATTCTCTCATCCATGAGGCCTCAGCCATCCCCTCCTACCCAAGTTCCACCATCGATGTGAGCCCGGAGCTCCCCTTTGTCACCACGCTTCTCAACGATCAAGTGGGAGAGGTTGCTCTCCAGATCCTCCTCAAGCGGTGAGCTCGCTCCACCTGGACGAATTTGTTTTAGATAATGGAATTAAATTCCGGCCTTTGCTAAATAGCTACAGCCAAGCTCCACCGGGACGAATGCAATGGCTTTGGCATGGAGACAGCGACAAGGTGGCTGTAGATGTAGAGCTCGCGCTGCCGGTGTCGACCACAACCTCGTCGGCTACCACCCTCGGCCAGAGCTTATGCCTCCTTCAACCAAATCTGGTACGGACGACAATAGGGGGATGAGGTGCGTGGGCGCAATGATAGCGAAGGAGGATGGAGGTGGAGCTCGCTCGGGGAGGACGCTGGAGGTGGCTGTCGGCATGGAGCTTGAGCTCAGTTGAGTAGGAAGCAATGGCCATCTCTTTGCCATGAGATCGGCGCTAGTGAGAGCTCAAACTCTGCCTCCCAGCCCACGTTGCCTTCTGTCCCTCGTCGATGGCGGTGGTGTCCCTGTGTTTTTTTTTGGGGGGGGGGGGTGGGGTTGGTGCGCTTGGCTACGCGCTCCATGGAGAGGATTCCGACAGAGGTGGCCCTCGAAAACGGTGCTCCACAGCACAGGGGGGATTTGGTGGCGGTGGTCCTTTGCATTTCTAGCTCGGGGAGAGGAGAGATTGAGAGGAAGAGAGAAACACTACTACGAAAACCATTTTTCGTGACGGCCATTTTGGATTTTTGCTGGCGGAATTTGCAGCCGCCACAAAGCAAAGGCCAGTGAAGATCAAGATCTACGCTAGCGGTTATTGACCACCAGTAAAAATCTATTTTTGCTGGTGGTCATCTTTGTAAGATCAACGTGTGTTTTGATTTTTATTCTGTGATGAACAATTGGCATCTGTGATTATCGGTTTTGATATATGGAGATTATCGTCGAAGTGGTTTTGGAGATAATCAATTTTCAGGAGATGAACAGGGTTTACTGGTTTGTCGGGACCGGTCAGACCGGGCGGTAGTTGCCGGTCAGACCGGCGCTATGTGAGCGGTCAGACCAGCTTGCCCGCGGTCTGACAAGCCGACGCTGTGTCGGTTTCGGTTTCAGGTTATTTCTTTGGATATCTGTGATTGTTTCATGGTTATGGCTTCTAGACGGATACTATACGTATGTAATACTGTTGTTTGCTAACAATGAGTCAAGTTGGAGATAGCTTGGTCTCGGAATATGGTTTCTTTGTTTGTTTCATGTGTACGTGACTCGATGCCTCGGGAGAGTATTTGCGGTGTTGGACCAGGAGTTGGCTTGGTGGTAAGACGATGTCCGTGGTGGTCAGATATCATGCGGGATACTAAGGCTAGAGTTGATGCACGTGGTTGATGGTGATTCCATATGGCATACGATGGAGGTATTGTGTGCGTGTGGGATGCGGAGTCGAATTTGGAAGGAGTTCAAATTTGGTACAATTGGTTATGTTAAGTTTGTTTCTTATACTAGAGGGTTTCCTAAGGTGTTTAGGACTCTTAGTATGAGTTTGGTTCGTGGCTTTAGGCTGTCTACCTCATGTATAAATAGAGGGGGAGCGTGAGGCTTCCCGGTATCGCTTTTGAGAGCAATTGAGTTGCAAGTTTAGTTAGGGTTTCGAGTTTAGTCGAGATTTTTGTAAGGAGTGCTGTTGGTGCACTTTGTAAACACAGAGAGAAGTAATAAAGTTGTCATCTACTTTGAGAGTTCTTCGATTTGTGTTTCACCGGGTTACGACGGTCTAACCGGCGATATACTGGCGGTCAGACCGGCGGCGCTAGGACGATCAGACCGGCGGCGCAGGCAGGCAGCGGCAGGTGATCTCGGTGGTTCGACTGGAGTTCGATCTCGGTCAGACCGGCGTGTTCCAGGCGGTTAGACCGGTACAACTACTTCGGTCAGACCGCGATCCATCGATTTCGAGGGTAACTTTTATTTCCGTTAAAAGTTTTTGGTTTTTGGGTATACCAACCATTCACCCCCCTCTGGTTGGCTTAGTTCTTGTGATTCGATCCTATAATCTTAAGCCAGCCGCCAGCAAAAATCCATTTTCGCTGGCGTTGGCTTAAGAAGGCCGCCAGCGAAAATCTATTTGGTGAACAAAAAAAACACGCATGCAGCTGCCCAGCCGCCAGCGAAAATACCCATGCAGCCGCCCATTGATTCATTAATTTCAAATTTCAAATCCACATCTAGATTCACTCCTCATTTCCAAATTCAAACACGAAATACAAAATAATCATCAGCGATCAAACATTATTTACACAGATGAAACATGATTTAACAGATCAAAACATGTGCATCATCTGGAACAACATGCAAAAAGAAAAAGAAAAAAAAAATCAAATCTAGCCGCGGGAGCACGGTCGACGGTGGCGGTGGATCCGGCCTCCCCGCGGCCCCCGCAGCGGCGAATCCGGCCTCCCCGCGAGCCGCTGCCCGCTCCCGAGAGCCGCTGCGCCCGCGCCCGAGAGCCACCGCTGTGCCCGAGCTCGCCGAGCCGCCTCCCGCTGCCGTCACCCACCCGCCTACCGTCGCCGCTGCGTGCCCGCTTCGCGTCGTCGTCGCCATGCCGAAACCGCTGCCGCTGACAGTGGGGTGGGAGGAGGAGAGAGTAGAGGAGAGGAGCCAACTGTGGGGTGGGAGGAGCTGGTTGATGAGGATGGATGGCGACGGCAGCCGGTGGGGGTGGGGTGGCGACGGCAGCCGGCGGCGGTGAAGAAGAGAGGGAGGAGAGACGCGAGGGAGAGAAGGGAGGGAGGGGAGCTCGAGAGAGGGGGCGGGTGGGTGGTGGACTGGTGGTGGTGGTGGGCCGTGTGCTTCATATTAATAGATGGTGGTCCATCTATGCAAGCGGTCCTTCTACCGCCAGCGAAAAAAGTGGGCTGCCAGAAAAAATAATTGTATTTTCCCTACCGGTCTGTATAACACAACCGCCAGCGAAAATTATCCATCTTCGCTGGCGGCGTACCTAAGTGACCGCCAGCAAACATAGACATATCTTCGCTGGTGGCTGGTATAACGCGGCCGCTAGCGAAGATCCATTTTCGCTGGCGGTCGGTGCCCCTTACCCCGTCGTTACAATTTTGCTGGCGGTTTTAGTATTTTTCCGCCAGCGAAAATCATATACCAACGCCATGAAAAATCATTTTTCTAGTAGTGAAAGAGGAGAAAGGCAAAAGCTTGACTAACAAAAGGACCCCATGTTTTTTAGATATATTTTTTCACTGAGTAGAATGTCTTGTTAGTTGTCACGTAGGCGAAAACCGACTAGTCATGAAGAGGGGATAGATTAAACGGTTTTAATAGCTCAGGGGTGTTGGATACCTGATTTCAAAGTTTGGGGTGAATTTTAGATAAAAGTAAGAGTTAAGGGAAATTTACTCTTTTAAATATAAGACTCAACTACCACTAACATAAAAGATAAAAAAAATAATACTTGTACCTAATAAAATTAGAGATTTTGTGGGTGAATTTTTTTTTTTAAAAAAAGATGAACAATGGGGACGTATGTAGCCGAGAAACACAGTGCATATGTGGTGATATGCATGTAGTAGCACTGTAGCAAACGGCCAACGACACGTCGACGCCTGGGAGAGAGGGGCACTGGTTATGAAGTGGCACATCTTGTAAACCACTCTGCCCGGAGAGGTACGTTAATTAGTTCATTGCGCGCCGCAGACGATGGACTTATTCAAGGACACTTCTAGAGGCTGCTATGGATCGGACGTCCGATCTGGTGCAAATTGTCGGACGGTGTTGCACCGTGTTATCGAGGAATATTTCACATGTTTCATCTCTCAGAAAAAAATGTTTCAATGAAAATGTTTTAGATGTTTCACTCCCAGAGAAAAATGTTTCAGCATTTGAGGAAAATTGTTTAATCCAAATGCAATATTCAACAATATGGACTGGCGGATTGTAACACCAAGAAATCAATTCATGCAAACATCAAGTCAAAAATGGAATGAAACACCTTAATACAATAAAGTGCAACAAAAAATATAAAAAACTGAAATATCAGACGGTTGTTGCAAAATGTTTCACTGAAAAATGTTCAGATGTTTCATCAACCAGGGAAAAATGTTTCATCGCATCGACGAAAGTGTTTCAACCGAATTCAATCGAAACATATCGATTGCAACATGAAAAATCAATATGTGCAACATCGAATCAAAACAAAATAAAACACCTTAATACACAAAGTGCAACACAAAACTAAACCCACCTTCGTCTTCTTCAACTCCAGCCACCACCCTCAACTCCGGCCACCGTCCTCGCGCGGCGTGGCTTCGGCGAGCGAACACCCCTACTGCCACCGCCACCGCTCTACGTCTGGCCGGATCTGTAGAGCGAGATAGGACCCGCGCTGGCTGCAGCCGATTTGCGCCGCCACAGGAGAGCACGTCGCCCTACCGCCTCGATTTGGGAGGGGACGCCGGTGGGGGGAGAGCCGACGCCGCGAGATCCGCCCCCCAAGCTCGTCGCCCTACACGTTCCACCCCATCCAGCGAAGAGGACGGAAAGCTCGTCGGCCATGCCCAACCGTAGGAGCGCCGCCGCCGATGGGGAAAGAGGAGTGACAGCCGAAGTAGGAGGAGGGGCGGCACGGCGTCCGGAGGAGGAGGAGGGGAGGCGGCGTCGGCCGAAGTAGAGGGCGAGGGGGAAGGCGCGGCGGCAGGAGGAGGAGGCGAGGCCTGCGTCCGGTGAAGAAGGGGGCAAGACGCGAGTGAGATGCAGTGCTACGGTGTTGAGGGGAGAGAAAGAGAGAAGAATGGGTGGTTGACGCTTGCACTCGGTGGTACATCCGAATTTTTTCGTCGTATCGAACGTCCGTTGTAAAGCATTTTCGGACACTTCTCGATCGATTGATCATCGGGCGACGTATTACGTCGCTCAATCGAGTACAATGCTGCTGTAGTTAAGACGACAACTTTAGCAGCGGAACCCCACTGTCGGATCAGAAATCAATGGCTCACACAGTTTCGAAAACACTATAAAAAACGATTTTTTTTCTATATGATGACCCCTATAGATTACAAGCGGGCCGTAACTAGTCGTGTCGGTAAAAATTAAGTTCTATTTTCACATACGGCTTATTAAGAAACTCACATGTAGAAATCCATTTTCCCATCAATTTAACTTAAAAAGTTGCATGGAAAAACGAGTATATTTTTCAAAGCGATCCGCTTAAAGGGCCACATGCAAAAATAAATTTTTACATGCGGATCTTACGTGGTCCGCCTACAAAAGTACCCATCCTCTTTTACATAGATATTTTCTCCCCTCCTTTCTCTTTTCCCTCTCAACACTTCAAAATTTTCCACTTCACCTCTCCCCTCTCTCTATTTCTCTTATTCTCCTGTCCTCTTTCTCTCTCTCACCGTGTGCACTCTCTCATTCTCTCCTCTCCCTCTCTTTATCTTCCTCTCCTCTCCTCTCTCTCTTTCTCCGAGCGGGAGCGTGAGCGGGTGACGGGTGGCACGATGGACGAGGAGGCACCGGGTGACTTATCCGTTCTAAATTAAGTCTATTTTTCACTCATCCCACACATACCAATAAAAACCAAAAAAAATATAATACTTTTTTTCAGGGAAAAAAACTGTAATACTACTCGATATATTATTCTATGTTTTATCAAAATCTTCAATGTAAAGCAAACATTTCATTTAAATATATTCGATGTAAAACTAATAAAACTAATTTGGTGCCCTGGACTTTTTTATAATCTTTAACTAAGAAAAAAAATCAAATGGCTTATAATATCAAATCAATTTTATTAAATTTAACATTGAATATATTTTGATAATATGTTTGTTTTATGTTGAAAAATTCAACTATATTTTTATATAAACTTGATCAAATTTAGAAAAGTTTGACTAGGAAAAAAAATCAAATGATTTATAATATGAAATGGAGGGAGTAGTGTATATATACACACATATACATATACTAGAAAAAATGCCCGTGTGTTGCGACAGGTAAAGGCTATTTTAGTCTCATTATTATTGTTATACGGTTTAGTTAGGGTGAAAATCATTGTGACAACTCTCTTGGATATATTTTTTTAGAAAATTATGAGTTGTAACTAGGAGTCCGACTCTCATCTCAAGTTAGCATGCAAGTTTTTTTAAAAATGATTTCTTATACGACTCATTTTATATTTCCAAAAACGTTTCAAGTTAGCACGCGAGTTTTTTTTAAAGTGATTTCTTATATAGACGTATTTTGTATCTCAAAAAATAAACGAACTTAAAAACGGACTTAAAACACATATATGTATTTCCAAAAGTGAATAAACTTAAAAACCGACTCAAACACGAGTGATCTACCAAAGTATTGGTAAAAATATCTTTAATTTTTATATTTTTATAACACTAGAGAAGAAGAGATAGAGATATATAGTTCCATCATCCATGACGGTTCACGTGTTCAGTAGTTAGGTGCTGTAATGGAGACGAGGCTCTCCACGTAACGGATGACATGGTGTATAGTCGGAGTCGGCTCACAGCTGTACCGGCTCCCTCGCACGTTCACGTCTTTCACCACCGGTTTGCTCCGCTCCCTGTGCCAGCACAGCTCCTTGTACAACATGGTCACCAACGTCGCCTCCTCGTCCACGCCGTCATCGCCGGCCGTGGCGCCGAAGCTGTGGAACCAGCGTTCGCCGGCGACCAAGCCCCACGCGTACCCCCACAGGTCCACTCGGTATCGCAGCCACCACTCCGGCTCGTCGTCGTCGACCGCCGCCGCCGCCATCCAAACTTCGTGGGTGGCAACCCCCGTGCGGACACGATGCACGTAGCACAGCTCGCCGGCGAGGTCCGCCAGGCGGTCGTCGTACGTGAAGCCCGTGCAGCCCGGGGGGCACGGGGACCACGTCGAACGCCTCGTCCCGCAGGCTGAACCGCAGCAGCGCGCACGGCTCATGCTCGTCGATGAACCAGTAGAAGGAGGCCCCGCCGCCGCGCGTGCAGGCGGCGGGTCTCCCGTCGGGGCTGATGGCGCGCGGCGGGTCCTGCAGTCCGCCAGCCATCCGTCGCCGGCGCCGCCGCCGAGCGTGAAGATCTCGTGCCCGACGTTGTAGACCGGCGGATAGTGGTTGCCGGACTTGCGGTAGTAGAAGCATCTGGCGACGACGTACCTGTTCCGCCACGGATCGAAGCCGATCGCCGCCGTCGATTCGGTAGACACTGGGGACGGGCCGCGGCGGCTGCGGCCGCTGGTGCCGGGCGGCAACACGACGAGCTCCTGGGTGGCCGGGTTGCACACGAACGTGGCCCCGCCGCAGGTGGCGACGGCGACAAGGCCGTCGCAGTGGGTGGGGATGATACGGCGTGCGATCCGGCCGCCGTTAGGGATAGACTTGTGTAGCATCGGATCAGTCTCGGAGGTGATGTGTGGCGGCGCCGCCACAGCCGCCGCCACCGCTCTCGCTCTCGCTCTCGCTCTCGGTCCGGCCGCCACCGCTCGCAGGGTAAGCGTTAGCCGGTGGAAGCTGACAACCTCGGAGTCGGAGTCGGAGAGCGCTTCGTCCCATACATCCTCCGAGCTCGCGACGGCGAGCAAGGACGACGTTGGCGGCTGCCTCGCGCGCGACAGCTCGAGGTGGCGGCGGACCAGGGCGGGGTCGTCGACGGCGGCGTGCCACGAGCGGCAGACCGCCCTGAAACGCGAGAGGGATCTCACGGGGAGGTTCACAAAGATGTGGGAGAAAAACACGTCGTCGGGGATGCCGATGGCTGCGGCGACCGCAGGAGCTTCTGGGATCGCGGCGGCGTCGTCGGTGGCGGCGGCCGGCGGATGCGGTGGATTGATCTGCCGGTGTTTGCGCCGCTGGCGGGTCGTCGGACGGTGCTTGCGGCGCGTGGGATTCGTCATGATGTGCAAATCGATACGTATGTTTTTGCCTCAATTTAACAGCAGATTAGTTGCGCACCTGTTCGACATACCGATAATATTACTATATTAATTAGTATGAGTTAACATGCGTTACGTTGTAGGGACCTGAATATTCTTTGTAGACGCAAACTTGTTTTGACATATCGTACTCACCGCTGGTTTTAATTGATGAGATTATGCCTTATTACAAAACCTTGTACAAATACGTGAAAAATATAAATCATGGTTAAAGTATTTCTTAAGAATAAATTAAATCGTAACAAAATAAACATCTAGCAAATCCCAAATAATAACTATATGATATTTTTAAATAAGACAAATGCAACAGCCAGCGAAGAGAATTTTCGCTGGCAGTTTCCTTAAGTCGGCCGCCAGCGAAAATCAATCTTCGGCATCTCCACTAGGGGAAACTATTTTAACAGCTCGAGTGGATGTCCACCCGTTTATTGCATGTCATCTAAATGGTTATGAAAAATTTTCAAAAAAATTGACAAGATAGATCAATATGTAACATATCACTCACAAACATGCAAGTTCAAATTCAACTTCTACAAGTTGTAACAAAAATAACAAATTTAAATGTAAACATACATATAGTAATTTGAGTTTTGTTTGTTATTTTTGTTATAACTTGTAGAAGTTGAATTTGAACTTGCATGTTTGCGGAGTGATATGTTACATATTGATCTATGTTGTCAATTTTTTTGAAAATTTTTTATAACCATTTAGATGACATGCAATAAACGGGTGGACGTCCACTCGAGTTATTAGAATCCATCTCATAATGCAACAGCAGCACCTTCACTAGCCTTTCACTGGCCTTTGGTCTCTGGCGGCGCCTGTGGCAACCAGCTAAAACATGTTTCGGCCCTAAAAAAACGAAAAGAAAATCGTTTTTTATAGTGCATCTTCCATGTATACAGTATAGTAGATGATTAAAAGTACATGATGATACGGTCATATATATGGGTAAAAATCATCATGGAAGGCTAGCTAGCTATCTCATCTGGCGTGCCAATGTCGAGTCGAAATCAACTTCTGACTCTACAAATCCTACATACATACGGCAAACTCTTCTGATATGCTCTCCTATATATATATATATATATATGCAACCAATGCTGCATACTAACATACACTGAACATGGGGATCTACTACGGGCGGCGCAAGGAGAAGCGCCTCCGGATCACACAATCTCTGGCGCCCGCAGCCTCCGCCGCCGCCGCCGCCCCCGTTCCGGACGATCTACTCGTCTCCGAGATCCTGGCGCGCCTCCCTGTCAAGACCCTCACGCGCTGCAAGAGCGTGTGCAGGTCGTGGCGCGCCGCCCTAGAGGATCCTTCCTTCGTCCGCCGCCACCTCGAGCTGTCTCGCACGAGGACGCCACCTTCGGCTCTAGTCATCCCGCACGATGGCGGCGACTTCTTGTCCAGGTGTATCAGCTTTCACCGCCTCCGGTCACCGGAGCACACAGCCACGGACGCCGCGGCGGCGGCGGCGACGGCTGAGCTGATGCTCGAGGCGACGTGCCCGGAGGAGATCGGCTGCGGGTTCGTCCCTTCGCGTGCAACCCGGCGACCAGGAAGCTCGTGCAGCTGCCGCTCGGCACCAATGCCGGGCTCTCCGAGTGCTTCTGGCCGGCCGCGGCGATCGGCTACGACCCGTGGCGCGACCGGTACGTCGTCTGCAGGTACTTCGACCTGAGCACCGAGCCCTTCTTCGACGAGGCGACCGGCCGGGAGACGTCGTATTGGCGCCTCGGTCACGAGATCTTCACCCTCGGCGGCGGTGGCGGCGACTCCTGGGTGGAGACCGACCCCCCGCCGCCGCCCGGCAGGCATTGGCCGATCGGTGAATTGGGCGCGATCTGCGTGCGAGGGGACTTCTACTGGCTGAGTTACACCGCCGCCGGCGCCGCCGGCGACGGCGAGGCGGAGATGGCGCTGCTCCGGTTCGGCCTGCGCGACGCCAAGTTCGACGTGGTCCGCGGCCCTCGGGGCTGCACCTGCCGCCGCCGCACGCCCTCCTCCTCCGATGACGGCTACTTCTACTTCACGGACCGCGTCGTCGACCTGTCCGGCAAGGTGTGCTACGTCCACGCGCCATTGGCGGCCGACTTCCTGGAGCTCTGGCAGCTAGCGGGGGATCATGATCAGGAGTGGTCGCCACGCTGCCGCATCAACCTGCTCGAGAGGGGGATCGTCATACGGAAGGAGGGCTTCGTTCCCGTGTACCACCATGGGGAGGACATGCTGCTTGTTCTGGATGACGAGCAGCTGTATCGATACAACGAGCGGACTAGAGCGATCGAGGAGGTTGCCAACTTGGAGCGGGAGCTAGAAAGTATGAGCGGCAGGACGGCACCTTGGGGTATAAGCATTACGTTGTCCCGTACGTGGAGAGCCCGGTCTCCATTTGTTCGAGTAACTATATAATTAAAGAACCGATAGAGACTTTGCTTATGTATAGTAATTAATTAAGTAATGGACAAAACGTACGTGCATGATGACATTTTTTTTTTGGTTTTGCTATATATAACTATCGGCGAATTTCTCTCTCTCTCTCTCTCTCCAAACTTTCGATTTGATTGCACGACACACGCTATGTGGGATTCGAACGTTCTGGCAGCTGAAGCTTTATAAAAGGGTGATTTTACCATCCTAAGAATGTACCATATTTTCTAAGAGGTTCGTTCTGGTCCAGCAATTTATATCGGGAGATACTGAACAAAATCTGGCCGTTCAATCGTTAGGGGTGCGATGGACTACGAAGAAAAACAGCCAACGCTAGCTCCTCGTCCTCACGCGGCTGCACCATGACCTCTGGCACGCGTCATGCTGCATGGCAGCCATAGCAAGCACAGTACCCGTACTTGGATGTGTCAAAGCTCGCGCCGGTGAAGGGCTTGAAGCACGATGGCGGGAAGGACGATGAGGACGGCCAGTTATTTAGCAACGATACACCAGCGCTGCCACCAAAGCCAAAGCACAGGGAGCTGCCGAGCGCGACCGATGACGAGATGGTAGCAGCGAGACGGTAGTGGTGCGGCGTCACTGGCAGAGGAGCATTGGAGCTTCATTGCAGGGAGCGGCAGGGCATGGACAGATGTGTTAGCCAGAGATATCAATTTTTTTCTACGGCTGCGGCAGTGTGGCGTGCGACGACGTTTGCATCCGTACAGCGCGGCCCACCCTAACACGCGGTGGCACAATTATGTCGACCTTGCTCGTCTACAGCAGTAGAAGAGGCGCCGGAGAACGGAAAAGGGGAAAAAAAACAAAATGTGCATGAAAAATTAAAAAGGGAAGGTTCACATCAAAGTGCCTTCTGGCTCGCCGGCTCTCTCTGCCTCCACTCTGGTTGGCCACTCCACCGGCGAGAGCCCTTTGATGAGCCACTACTGCTCGGCATCTTCAGGAGAGAGAGGATAAGATGAAGAAGATACAATTGGAACACAAAATTACCTGACTACCCTTCTGTCCTTAGTACCTCTTCATCTTCTATACAATCACGTGCGCAATACCATTGGTACTGCTTCTTCTCACCCGTTGGATTGAAGACAATTGATGGTTTGGATTATAGGTACCGGCAGCTACCAAGGTACCTGCAAAACCATAAAAACTCTCATTTTCTAACGTAAAATTTGGTATCTCTAGGTACCAAGTATCTCATGGTACTAAAATAGTCTAAAATTTTGGTAACTCAAGGTATTTTTTTTAAGGATTGTAAAATTTCTCTTATACAAAATCTTCAGCTTTTGCAAACAGTACAGATTATCACACATATTCTTAGAATATGTAATTGCAAAATTTATGTAATTATAGAATTTTGAAAATGAACAAGAAGAAAAGCTGAAAACCCCAGCATCTGTAGATTAAGGTGGCTATCAACCATTAGAATATTCTTAGAATATCTCTAGCAATAGCTCCTATTTTAAAGCCCCTAATGGCTAAATGGGAGCTGCCTTCATTTCTTGAGGACCCAAAAAATGCCTACAGCTCCAACAACTATCCCTATTTCTATTTCTCTTCTATTTCAATATGTTACAGCGGCAAGTTTGACGTGGTTGCAAGGTTGTCAGACTGTCAGTATCTCAATTTATATCCTAGTATCTTAGGACAGTAGCAGTGCGTCGTGGGATTTCACCGAACCTCGCATGCCAACTAGGTGAAGAACCCTATTAGCCACACACTCCACAATGCAAGTTACCTATAAAGTGGGTCCCACTAGCACATCTTTTTCACTTTTTATATCTCTCTCTCCTCTTCCTCCTTTTCCCATCGGTAGAGAAAAAGCAGAGAACAGAGGCGTCGGGAGGCACCAGCGCTGGGGTGGCGAGGGCGGTGGGCCGGGCGTCGGCCGTCTCCTGCGAGCTCCCCGAAGTAGCGCCGGCGTCCGCGATGCGGGAGTGGCGGACGGGCTGATGAGGACATCCTCCACTATTACCCGCTAGCAAAGACGTAAAAGTCGGACGGCGACCGTGTGAGCCTCTGAATAATCCCACCTTGCTTAGCTTGGGAGGAGGAAGCCACCTTAAAAAGGAGAGTCACCCTTCCCCTATCGGACTAGTCTTTTAGGGAGATTGGGCCTTTCCCCGAGTGAGTGTGCCTAAGAACTGTTGGGGTCCGAGCTACCTTAATTTGTTGGACCTCGGCCAACACCACCTGGGCCGGATTGTTATATTTGATATCAGAGCTGGGCCCTTGTTAAGGGGGTGGGAATGATGAGAACATCCTCCACTATTACCCGCTGGCAAAGACGCAAAAGTCGGGCGGCGACCGTGTGAGCCTCTGAATAATCCTACCTTACTTAGCTTGGGAGGAGGAAACAACCTTAAAAGGGAGAGTCACCCTTCCCCTATCGGACTAGTCTTTTAGGGAGATTGGACCTTTCTCCTTCCCCTATCGGACTAGTCTTTTAAGGAGATTGGGCCTTTCTCCGAGTGGGTGTGCCTAAGAACTGTTGGGCTCCGGGCTACCTTAATTTGTTGGGCCTCGGCCAACCCCACCTGGGCCGGATTGTTATCATTAATGATGAGGACATCCTTCACTATTACCCGCTAGCAGAGACGCTAAAGTCGGGCGGCGACCGTGTGAGCATCTGAATATTCCCATCTTGCTTAGCTTGGGAGGAGAAAGCCACCTTAAAAGGGAGAGCCACCCTTTCCCTATTGGACTAGTCTATTAGTGAGATTGGGCCTTTCCCTGAGTTGGTGTGCCAAAGAACTGTTGGGGTCCGGGCAACCTTAAGTTATTGGGCCTCGGACAACCCCACCTGGGCCGGATTGTTATCATTTGGTATCAGAGCTGGGCCCTTGTTTAAGGGGATGGGAATGATGAGGACATCCTCCACTATTACCCGCTGGTAGAGATGCTAAAGTCGGGCGGCCGAGTAACCTTAAGTTATTGGGCCTCGGCCAACCCTACCTAGGCCGGATTGTTATCACGGGCGGCGAGGGCGGTGGGGCGGTCAGATCCACCCTCTCCTTCGAGCTCCTCCGAAGCAACGCTGGCGTCGGCGGTACGGCCAAAGCAGCGCTGGAGTAGGCGGTACGGGAGTGGCGGACGGGGGGCGATGACGGTAGGACGGCCGGATCCACCCCTCTCCTTCGAGCTCCCCCAAAGCAGCGTCGGCGTCGGTGGTGCGGGAGCGGCGGACGGGCAGCGAGGGTGGTGGAACGGCCATATCCACCCCTCCCCTCCTCTCCTCCTCCGAAGCAGCGGCGGCGTCGGCGGTGAAGCTCGGCGGCGCAAATTGGAGGGACAGTCGACGAGCTCCCCGGCGATGGCAGGTTTTGAGCTCCTCCGGTCGGATCTGGCTCCCTTCCCATTCCCCTCTTCCTCGTCGTCTCTCTTCCGGTCCTCTCTCTCCCCCTTCTTGGTGGCGCGTGCAGAACACAAAAGTGTGGGCCCAAACTTACAATCTTTGATGAGGAACCTGTGGCAACATTTGGCTCCGTGTTCTTTATTGAGCACCGAAATACTCTGACGTGGAGGAGAATCTCTGACCTGGCCTCCCCAAGTTGAATGCCACATCACTGCACTGTGAATGGCCTTACGACAACCTTACCAACTGTGTCGATGGTCTTAGAACTTTGGCAAATGGAGGAGGACGACGGGGCACGGCCGCCGGAGTGGTGATCATTGTGCTGCCGCATCAACCTCCCTGACAGGGGGACGCAGTGGCGGGTGTTGATATCAAAAATTGACAGCCGATGATTTTTAACGGTTATTTTATTTGGACGAGGTCTGGCCGAATGTTTTTATTCTTCTACTTAATTGAATTCGGTTGTTCAATGGTTAATCAGGTTATTATCAGAGAATATATGGGCAAGTGCTTCTCCTGAATGTGATGCATGCATATATGGTTTAATTCCAGTTTTACTTTGCCTCCTGGCTCCTGGCGTAGCAGCAGAACATGCAAAGATTGATTTCTTCAGGATTTTCTATGGAAGATAAAAGCTTGAGAACAAAATTAATATGCTGTGATGCTGGATAAAAGATCACATGATCAAGTTGGCAGCTTAGAGGTGACGTACAGAGGCAAGGAAGTCGGAGGCGCTGTGCATATGCAACGTTTTCATTTCTATGTTAATTTTCATTGTTTTGGTTAATACCATGTGATCTCTAATCTAATTAGTGTGGGACCAAGCCAAAGACCAGGCACACTATATATGGGTCTAGGCCGATTGGAAACATATATACACAATCAATCGATACAAAATTTCTGTCATATTTCCTTTTACTCGTTTTGCTTTCCTTTGTGTTGTTTTGTTCGATCCTCAATACAGCCGCCGGCGGCTGCCGTCGTCGCAGTACCTCCAGCCTGCTGGTGGCGACGCCGCAGCAGAGCATGCTGCTGCTGCGTGCGCAGCGTTGCTCGTATCGCAGCCGCGTGAAGCACGTCGGCTGGTAGCAGCAGCAGGGGAGACGTGTTGCTCCTGGCTTGTTGTGCGACAGGCTTGTTGTGCATCTGTGCCACAGCAAGGAAGCCATCTCCTGCATTCCGTTGCACGCACACACAATCGTACCAGGTGAAACTTCAGTGTTGCTTTTTCAGGACAGATCAAGTGTTGCATTCCTAGGGCAAATCTTGGTGGCAACAGAGGGGAGTCTTTGTCTCCAGTGATGGCCAACGAGGAGCCGAAGAGGGAGATCTTGCTAGCTTTGTACTGCAAGAAGCTGTATCGATTAGTGATTGTAATTTTGATTCGAAATTTTAGAAATTTCTGAAATTTCTGTATTTTAGACCTCACCGGCGAATCAATATATTGACCTAAATTTTCAGGTTTTCTTAAATTTTTATATAAGTTGGTCAAAGTTTATTTAAATTTAGTCAAAATTTCAGAAAATTTTAGGATCACCGAAAATTTTGGATTTTTGGTCCTACCGTAATCACCGAAATTTTCACCGAAATCGAAATTGTAAACCCTGTATCGATACGATCAGTGGAGCGGAACCATGAAGGAGGCCCTGGACGTACGGTGGACCTGCAAGGGCGTGGTGTACGGCGACAGGCAGTAGCAACACGGCAGCTACCTAACCCGGAATGATCAGTTTGATACACACGGCCCAGTCGTTCGAAACCAAATCAATTGTAGTGCTGTGAAACATGCTGGAAGACTAGCTATTAATTCCGTCGACGTTGACACGCATTAGATGTATATATCTGTAGGTCCGTCGTCACATAATTGAACCGTGTTAAAGAAAAAAAAAAGAGATATGAAGAGAGAGACGTCTCTCTAAATATTTTTCTAAAAAAATTTATGAGCACGTGAATGATTAAAGACAGGATCTCGGGATTAAAACACACACCCTTGCTGCTGCGCTATCGATTCAAATGGACCTCAATTGAACCATGTTTAACGATCTCTCCCTATTGAAACTATCTCTGAAGCATCGGTAATAGAGGACTAACGTCAAATCGTCAATGGCGTAAGAGGGAAAATTTTCTGTTCGTTTTGAGTTCCACCGTGTTCAGTCCTGTACTGGCCTGTGTACCACAAACGGTACTGTAACCACCACGTTACGACGACACGATCACCGGTATACCGACGAACACACACGCACAGCTAGCGAAACGTACTACCTTGGCAGCCTGTGGCACGGGCGCCGCCGGATCAAAAGGGACAGCCTGGGCTGTAGTGCAAAAAGAGAAAAAAAAAAGCACAACTAAGGAGTAATTAAGTAATGAGATGAAATGGAAGTGGATTTTTCCCTCGAGTGGAAATCCTTGTGCATATATATATTTTAAAAAGTTATAATTTTTTTTTAAAAAAATATCAAGATAGATCAATATATTATAAATTTAAAATTCGACTTGTACAATTCATAGCAAAAATAATAAATTTGACCGTGAATTACGCGTTATATTTATAGTCAAATTTGTTTTTTTTCTACTTGTATAAATTAAATTTGAATTTGCATGTGTGTGAAGTGACATATCACATATTAATCTATTCTACCAAATTTTTTAATTTTTTTTATGTTTTTTTAAGTGACACGCAAAAATAAGAGGATATTCACTTAAGAAATGATTTGAGTTTTCCAGATGAAATTGTAAGCACGCAAGCAATTGAACGCGAGATTTTAGGGCGGTATTTGCAAACAATATTACGCGGTAACAAAACCGTCGGTGCTCGATCGATCGCGCAGTTCCACCACGTACCGATCGAGAAACGTACAGTGAGCTACTCTCCTTATATACAAGTATATATGAACTGAGCACGTTCGCGAGTATCACTGCAAAATCAGTTCATTGCAGGAGAAGAGAGAACACCACCATGGTGAGCAGAAGCAAGCAGGCGCTGGCGACGCCGCTGTCTCTCTTCCTCCTCCACCTGCTGCTTGCTGCTCTCGCCCTTCGTCTCGTCGCCGTAGCATCAGCCAGCGTCGTCATCAGCGTGGCGGAGGAGGCCGAGAACAACGCGACGGCGCCGTGGGCGACAGAAGAAAGGTTAGTGGTGGTGGTCGAGCTCGGGTCGGCGGCGGCACGTCAGCTGCAGCTGGGCGGAGGAGGAGTGGAGCTTCATCACCGGCGGCGCGAGCTGGCCGGGAAGATCCCGTTTGGTCCGTTGCGTCCTGACGGGAGCGCCTGCAGGCCGCACTGCCCCGCGAAGTCAGGCCTGCCGTACACCAGGGACTGCAAGGTGATCTACCTGTGTGGCAGGGGTCGCTAAGCTAGCTAGCTATACGACCCCGGCCGCTTCTCTTGCTGTACTCCACGTCGTATACACTATCAATTTGGCAGATGCATGTTTGCTGCTGCTTTCGGTGTACGGGTATATATGCCTCGAGCAATATCTGCATTCCCGTGTGACCTCGGAAATGTCTGGTTTTTTTTTTCTTCTCTCTTTTGGTGTTTTTCATTATATTCTGGGAAAGTATCAAATGTCTATTCAGTTTCAATGGGCCATCTCTTACACCCCGACATCAATCATGGCATTTTCTTGGAAGCATTTATTTATCTAGTGACATTTATTTTCCTCTTATCTACTACTCCTACCTCCGTCTTAAATGCAGGATGGGATACCCATCCTAAAATAATGAATCAGGTAAAATATGCATACGCCTTCACGGTAGGAAAACGTATTATTCAAAGTACGCTTTAGTTGGAGAAGCACTAGTGGTGTGGTGATAAAGTCGTGGGTGTATGACTCCACCCGCTAGTGTTCAAATCTCGGTGCCCACGAATATTATGCACATGCAGGTAGACTTTCAATGGGACTTTAGGGAAATATGCCGCTGGTTTCTATCGTTTAGAGCATGTGTTAGGAGACGCATTCATGTGAGTGTGGTGTTGTGTGTGTAGTGGTATGTGCGCGTCTGTGTCTGTGTGTAATTAAAAAAAGTATGCTTTAGTTCTTTAATAAAGATATTAATAAATATGAACAAAAGTATTTTGTTAATTACTTTATGCACTATAATTAAAATGCTGAAATTTTGGAAAATCATTAAAAAGTATTTTTTTAACTCCGATTGAGGGGAACCAAAATTTGTTAGATTTTTAATAGTTTTATCTTTAATACTGCACACTCATACTTAGCATCACTTTTATGTAAAATTTCACTAATTTGAATTTAAATAATAACCTTTTGTATTTATCGTACTTAAATCTTTAAACTGCAATACCTTGTACGTATGACATCGGATTTAGACGATTCCTTTTATAAGTTCATCTAAAATCACACTGTACATACTATGCATCATGAATCATATTTTTATCTTGAAATTTTATTGGATGTTCATTTGAATATAAAAAAAAGAATATACATTCAAATTTAAATAGAGGACGAATCATTTGATGCTGTTGACGAGAGTGTGGAGGGCCAAGAGATATTTGAGGAACCAGCTCGTCAAGGCAAGTTCTATTTAATTCCTTCTTGGATCATGTTACATCCTATATTTTCATCCTCGCAAAAAAAAATTCTATATTTTCACAAATATTTTACTATTTACAAATTGCAAGTGATGGTTTATAAATTGTAGGATTTTTTATAACAACTCCTATTTGCTGCATTATTCACCCTGATTATTTATCACCCTATTGTTGATAGACCTAGAATGGGTTGTGCTACTATCCAAGTACCAATGTGGGTATATTCGAGCTACTAATATAGGTATTGCTTAATCATGCCTAAAGACTTTGATGGTACCTATCACATGATATTTACTCTTTACAAATGGGTTATTTGAAAATATTTGTATGGAACGGTTGTCTCTGTTATTTGTGAAAATGAAAATCTAAAAATGATGGTTTAGACTTGAGCAGCAAGTGGTGTACATATGGTGGTAGTTGCACATCGATAGGGAAAGTGTTCGTCCGAATCGATTAAGTACCAAATTATGTATCACCAACTAAGTATAATATACAACCATATATTTTGTTTATGGGACGGCCCGAGATATTTAAGTTGTTTATTTTGGTAGACTAAAATAATATGAGTTATTCTGTGTGTATGTATAATGATTCTATTGTGTTGAGTTACTCCCTCCGACAAAAAAGCAATCTCTTATTAGGATATCACACATCTTTAAATTTATTGTACTAGGTTGATTTTTTTTATTAAGAGAGTAACTCAGAAGAGTTACCAATGTATCACGATACGATATGTACCCAATAGAATAGATGATAAAATGGATGGATGGACGGTAGGAAAGGAAGACCGATAACCGGCGCCCAGTCATCCTATCTTACAGGTCACGAGCCGTGTGCTTTGGTGTCACATCATGTCACAATTACTGCACCCACCTAGAGTTCGCAGGTAAATGCATGTGTGGCAGAGAGACTCAGGTAAATCAATTTCCTCACAAAAAACGGAGAAGGTTGGCCTGATCGATCGATTGACCAATCTCTGTAAAATCTCTCCTGATTCAGATGCAATCCATGCAACCCGCCTCAGCTGGCGGCCTCCGTGTCGGTGCCCGGCCTCCAATGTTAGATCTAACTAGGAAGCAATATACGCGGACATCTTATTTAATGTTGCTTAAAAATATGAGTTATTTTTTTAAAAATATTTGTATTCCATTATCAACCTTTTTTCCCAATAAATCATTTGTGACTATTTTGTATTTTGAATGTTGGTTATGATTTTCTTTTAATTACCCTTGCAACATATAAATTCTAAACTAAAATTACTTAAAACCGTAAAACCGTGAAATATTGAATTATAAGAAAATATTGTGCCACAACAATAGAGTTGACTCATATGAACTAATATTTTTACTATATGTGTTTTTATTGGAATACTTAACAAATCTTCGTTTTGGACCTCTATACTTTAAGAAATCAACATAGTTTTTTTTAGAAAAGTTGTTGAAATTTAACAAAAAAATTGAATTATAATATTTCGTATGATTTTCTTTATAAAAATCACATATTCCAATTATATTGGTCCCGCAGAAGTGTTTTTTTATTTTCTGCAATTTATATTGGGCTTTGGATTAAAAAAATATGTTTAAGTTTAGCCCAATTTTTATTCAAATTCCAGTTTTCCTTTCCATTTCGTGGAATATTGGAGATTTATGTTATATCAATCATCCTTAAAATGCTTTTGATCTCTAAAATTTGAGAAGAAAACAAAATTGTGTTGAGTGTACAACTCAGTATAGGGTAAAGACGTCCTAACCCTACCACCGAAATTGAGCTAAAAATATTATATGGATTGTGTTTTACTTCCTCTGTTCTCTGCTATGGACGTCGACACAGTCTCCAATATACATGTTCCATCATTAATTTTTTTAGCTATATATTTCAACAATAATAAAAATATAACTGTATAATAGCATTTTTCATAAAAAAATATCAATATTATTTTTCATATAAGCATAATTTTTTTATTAATTAAGATTTTGAGATTTGACTGCACGCTTTCTAGGATGACACATTATATTAATATCATTTTTTCCATATTAAACCCTATTTTTTTATTTACTAATGATTTAATATTCTGAGGTTTAGCTGCATATGTTTGAGAACTGAGGTAGTAATAAATTAAAACCATACCGGAATCTCCTATCACAAATTCATATTTCTGAAGTGTCGTATGGTATATGCCACAAATTTAAGTGATCGCTACTGGCACCACATAGCTGTTTCACTACCATAATCCCTTCCTGAAACACACGTGCTTCCTACGACCCATCATGATGCCGAATATCCATAATTTTATTTTAAATTTGTTGACTATGAAAATTAGACATCTGATAAGGAACACGTTATGATGTAAAAAAAAGAGATTATTCTAAGATTTTTCCCTCTAATTATTAGAGACTTCACGTATTGTATTAGATGCTATAATCATTTTATGATTGCTTAAGCATGATGATCCATGCGCGCGTATAGGTTATAGTTTGCCCCCACACATTTAGAGATAAAATAATTAAGTTCATAAAAAACCTATTAGATGTCTAACCGTAAGTGACAAAAATCAGGTTTGGCATTTGATTTCAATTAAGATTTTTTAGATTTCCTTCAACTCGGTTGACGCCTCAAGATGATAGTAGGTAGGTCCAACATGTAATAACTTTTTTAGCATTGAAAATAGTCAATATGAATGAATCATAAATTATTAATTTGCTTAAAATATACATTGGTTTAAGCCGATCATATATTGGATATATAATTTATAATCATTTAAACGTTGCTTATTTGTTTATAAAACCCACGAAGACCAATTTGTGTGTGAGACATCAATATGGAACATGCAGAAATTCTATTGCCATAAATAAAAGTGCAGTAAATATCTTTTAACTGCAATAGAAAAAGAAAACAGGGAAGAAAAGGAGCATGCATGCGTACATGCATGCGGGAGCCCGTGGAAAGAATTTCGGATTTTTTTTTTGTTAGATCAATCCATCTATGAGAAACTTGGTTACCAAATTAATATCTTTTAATTACCATAGGAAAAAAAAGCTGGAGAATAAAAGCGGCGTCCGTATGTCGCATGTGTCATGGTTATGGATACCACATACCTAATAGTAGTTGACTAAATCTCGGCAGGATCCACCACATACCATGTCTTATACAGGAACTGACCTCGAGGGAGTTCCGGATAAGGAAAGACAACCAGAGTTCTACATGGAAACGACAAGGGCTACTCGGATGTATCCATATTGGTTTCCCTAGTTCTACTTGGACAAGGGGATACCTATGAGTATAAATACAAGCCCCCTAGGAGGACAGGGGGACACCCACCATGGGGTGATCAGCACAGACAATCAACACCCGACAGGATCAACACCCAACACAATCAACATAGAAGCCTACATACGCCAAGACACGCCGCCGGATATCGACTTCAGGGATAGGCATGGCTATTCCCCTACGTTGTCTCCGGATACCGTCAGGAGATACGAAAGCGCTATCTCTGATCTCGTCGGGCACGGATTCGAGGAGGAAGACTACCCTGTTGTCGACTACGAGTCAGACCTTCAGACCGACATGTCGACAACAGTTAGATAGACTACCCACATATTGTACTGGTGTGATTATGGTGAATAAGAGCAACTCCGGCTCCGGCCAACAGGATGTAGGGTTATTACCTGACCACTCAGGGGTCCGAACCTGTATAAAAATTCCTATCTCCATCTCTTTTACCTCAGTCTCACGTATATCCTAGCACCGACGATCCCCATACTGTCCAAATACCGTAGTCGAGACATTAAACGTCGAGAGCATGTGTATGTGCGGGGGGTCTCAAAGGGGATTTCAGAATTTCTTTTGTTTTGGGAAAATTTTTAATCTAATGGTAGATATCGATCTGTTTTGTCCTCAAATACATGCGTTGCAAATGTGGGTCCTCACCTTTTCTTTTTGCGCCACGTGGCAGCTTAGGATCAATTATAGGAATCCCACGTGACGGTTTGAGAGTGTTTGTAGGAAGATTAATGGACTTTTAGTATATAATAGAAGATAGATAGAAGATAGATTGGTCTATATCTGAGAACCCCATTGCCACATGACAGGGATTCGGTGACCACAACCCGCATAGGCGCATAGTGCTATCAGGGGGTGGAAGAGGAGAGAAGGAGCTCCGCCGCAGTCGTTCTTGCTGCTGCCCGCCTTTCCGGCGAGCTGCTCAAGCGGGGGTGAGCGCGGACGAAGAGGGCCGGAGGGGGATGGAGCAGCGGCGGCGGTTTTTGAGCCTGTGGATCAGACCCCTAATGATTCATAAATCCATCACATTGACTTGATTGTCTTAATAATTACGAAATCTAATTGAGACTAGACTCTCCACATATGGAACATAGTAATGCTGACTATACAAATCATAGCCTAGCTTATATTTGCTCCCATCCGACCGCGCGTATTCCACCTCTGCCGTGTCGACCACCTTCTCCAGAACCCTACTCCTCTCACCATACAGATACAAGTTCTCATCCACCGACAGCAAGATGTGCTCCCCGCCGGCCACCAGCGGGGAGACGCAGCTCACGTAGTCGCCGACATCGATGCAGCAGCGCATGGACCACTCCGGCCGTGCCATGTCGCCGCCGCCGTCCAGCATGCATCCAGAGACGGGAGGTCGTCTTCGTCGTCTCCGTGGCTGTGTGGGTGTAGAACAGCTTACCGTCCAGCTCCGACACGGTGTTGAATGCGAAGACGTCGGATGAGCAGCCCGGATGGCATGGAACCATGTCGAACTTGTGGCTGCGAAGGCTAAACCGGAGCAACATGCTCGGGTTGCCGACGTCCTCGTTGGTGCACCAGTAGAAGCACCCTCCGATGCAAGCCGGCGGAGTGCTGGGCACGACGGCGCTGGTTGGTGGTGGATCCTCGGTGGCCTCCCATGAGCCGGCGCCGCCGCCGCCGAGAACGAAGATCTCATGCCCGATTTCGGCGACGCCGGCCCTGTTTGGGTAGCGCCGGTGGAAGTACCTACAGACGACGTACCGGTTGCGCGGCGCCACGGATCATAGCCGATGGCCGCGAACCGATCCCAGACGACGCAGCCGTTGTGGCAGCTGATGCCGAGCGGCAGCGTGACGAGCTCCTTGGTGGCTGGGTTGCAGACGAATGTCTCGCCGGCGTCCGTCGTGACGGCGATGAGGCCGTCGCAGTGCGTGGCGACGTCTATCTCGACCCCATCCGGGAACGCCCTCTCGAGCATCAGCTCAACCTCGCTGCTGCTACTGCTGCTGTCGTCCATGGTTGGTGTCGTGTCCACTACCTGTAGTTGTCGGAAGCGGTGGAAGCTTATACTGCCATCCTTGGGAGGGACCGAGGGACGACGACGATCATCGCCGACGGCCTCGCGCGGGACAGCTCGAGGTGGCGGCGGACAAACGCGGGGTCCTCGACGGCGGCGAGCCAAGATCGGCTCACGCACTTGAGACGAGCGAGGGATTTCACCGGGAGGTGCACCAAGATGTTGGAGAACAGAACGTCGTCTGGAACGGCAGCCGCCGAGGCGGCGGCGGCGGCGATCCGGTGGCGCTTCTCCGGGCGCGCGTTGGTCGTCTCCATCTTCTGATCTGTGGATGCAATGCGACGTGAGAGAGGTGGAATCATTGTGCATTGGTTCGATTTTCCTTCGGATTTGTGAATCCACGAGGAAATTAATAGTAGCAACTTAATTCTAATCGGAGTAGTGATTGGTTTTGGTTCTCCCAATCCAACTCGGGCTCTGTTCTTGCCGTGTGCTGCCCCTGTGTACACACGTACAAGTAAATAGCTATGCTACGTCTACTGTTATTTCTTCCTAGCGTGTTTCCAGATCGATCGACCTACTGACTGCTACCGGCATACGTGACACGATGTGCGATTACGTGATGCGTCCGGCGAGACGGCAGCGGACAGACGGCGGCGGCGGCTGTGGCGGCGGCAACATGGAGATCCCGAACGACCTGCTGATCTGCGAGGTGTTGACGAGGCTGCCCGTGAAATCCCTCCTGCGGTTCAGGTCGGTGTGCCGTTCGTGGCGCGACGCCGTGGCGGACCCCGCCTTCGTGCGCCGCCACCTCGAGCTCTCCCGCGCCGCGACGCCGCCGTCGACGACGGTGCTCGCCGTCCACACGCGCATGGACCATGACCCAGACGACAGAGCGGCGCCCGAGGACGTGGTCAGCTTCCACCGTGTCCGTCCAGGACAGTCTCCTGCCGCCGCCGCCGCCGCCATCGTCGAGCTGATGCACGAGGAGGCTATGGAGTGCGCCGGCATCCACCTGTTCGCCTCGCACTGCGACGGCCTCGTCGCCGTCGCGGCTACACGCGGGGAAGATCTTCGTGTGCAACCCCGCCACCAAGGAGTTCTTCCTCCTGCCGCCGGGAGGCCGCAACGGCCCGAGCAAGGAGACGGCGGCTCTCGGCTTCGACCCCTGCACCGGCAGGTACGTCGTCGCCAGATGCTTCTTCCGGCGCGACGTATACTACCGCGACGAGGACACCGGCGTGCTGCAGTATCTGGAGTACGACATTAACGACATCGTCCACCAGGTGTTCGTCCTTGGCCCCTCCGGCTCCGGCGACTGGGAGGCCACCGTGACGCCGCCGTGCATCATCTACACAAACCTGCCGGCGGCCTGCGCGGGCGGCGCGTTCTACTGGGTCGCCCACGACAAGTCCGACGGGACGTTCGCCGTGGAGTGCCCCAACTGCCTTGTCCGGTTCGCCATGAACGACGGGACGTTCACCATTGTCCCGCTCCCCCAGGGTGTCACCTTCATGGACGTCGACTTCGACTCCATATCCGAGCTTGGTGGCGAGCTGTGCTACACCCAGAGAACCTCGGGGACGGCTTACAACATCTGGACGCTGCAGCTGCCGGGGGACGAGGAGGAGGAGGGCCACCGGTGGTCGCTGCGGTGGCGCGTCGACTTCCGCCGCCGGGTCGGCGTCGTCCTGCCGCTCGCCGTGTCAGACGACGGCGGCACGCTGACCGTGTACGAGCACAGGGTGGGGATCCACCGGCTCGACGGCGGCCGGGAGAGCCACCCGGAGAAGGTGGTGGACATGGCTGCCGTGACGCGGGGTCTTGTCGGCCAATGGATCGCTGGCTATGGTTGTGCTCGGCAATGTGGCGGATCAGGCGATCATGATCGCGAGCAATGCGACGGTGGTGGTGCTGCTCATGATCGCATGCAGTGTGGCGACGGCGACTATTACTGCGAGCGATGCGGCGGCGACGGCGATTATTGTGAGCGATGTGGCGCCGACGACGAGGATGATTGGGAGCAATGTGGTGGTGACGATGGTGATGGCGATGGCGATGGCGATGGAGTCGGGGAGCCATTGGGTTTGGGCCAAGGTGACCATGGAGATCATGACGGTGACGAATATGACGACGGATACGATTATGATGGTGAGGAGGAATATTGGTACCTACAAGGTGGCAGATACAAACCATTGCGACCTGCCCTGCGAAGTCTTTTCGCTTACGTGCCAAGTCTGGTGAAGATAGACTAGTAGTAAGCTAGGTCATGCAATTGTTAATGTTATTGGTCATGCAGTTTCTAATCCTACTGTTTCCTACATATAAGTACATATGCAACTACCTAACTCAAATATTTCAGTATGGTCTTCCTCCGTTTCAGGTTATAAGACTTTCTAGTATTGCCCACATTCATATAGATCATTGAAACGGAGAAAGTAATACCAAAAGCTGTGTCACACGGAAAAGTAGCACCTACGTGTATAAACAATTCATAAAATTTGATAAGACAAACTATATAATATATATATAACACTATATATGAAAGTATAAATTCGATCTGTGCACACGAAGAAATAAAAATATTTTTTTCTGCAATGTCTAATTTTGTTATTTTTGTTTCTCTAATTATAGATCAAATATAATCTTACATGTTTGTTTATAGATTTTATATCATCCCAATTGATGTTACAAATTATTTTTATTTGTTTGTATAACTAATAACTATCTGAGCCGCATGTAGAAAATCCATGTACATAAATGATGGGTGACGGCGTGTGGAAAATCCATGTATGTGTCACACTCAAACTCATACTCTGCTCTTGCTGCGTTGCAAATCTTATATAGGTACTTGCCTCTTTACTACTAATATTAACGTGTTTGCGAACTGAGCGTCGCTCATTTGGTTAGATTCCTTGTTGTGAAACTAGCTCATCCATATTCAAGTTCTAAACTTGACATGACGATGCATCCGTTGGTAGTATAAAAGTAGAGTGTGCATATGTACGTTTATAAGGGTAAGTGTGCGTACGTTGTAAATGCCTACTTTGTAGGGCGGGCTGTGGATCGGGCGACAGCAGCGACCAGGCAACGGCGGTAGCACGCTGGCGATGCCAAACAACCTGGTGATCAGGGAGGTGTTGACGCGGCTGCTGGTCAAATCCCTCCTACGGTCGTGGCGGACTGGGCGCCCTTCGTCCACCGCCACCTCGCGCAGCACCGGCGACGCCACTGCCGTCAGTGCTCACCGTCCACACACACGCGCACGGTGCCCAACCCCAACGACACTACGGCCCCAGAGGATGTGGTTAGCTTCCACCGTGTCTGGCTGGGACGGTCTTCCGCGGCCGACGTGGCCACCGGAATCAGCGAGCTGATGCTGAAAGAAGAACTTTAGGCTTGGTTCGGTTTAGAGGGGATTGAAGAGAATTGGAAGAGATTGAGGGGGAATAATTTCACACCATAATAGGTGTAGAATAAATCCCCTCCAATTACTCTCTCACAGGATTAACCGAACAAGACCTTAGTGCATCCAAATCCACCTGATCGCCTCGCAATGCAACGGCCTCGTCACTGTTGCGGCAAAGGTGGGACAAAACTTCTTGTGCAACCCTGCCACCAAGGAGTTCTTTGTGCTGCCGACGGGATACTCTAGCCCCTACGATCTACTACATGAGGAGGTAGTGGTTCTCGGCTTCGATCTGTGCACCGCGACAGGGTTCACTCTTCCGTTTTTGGTATTTGTATGGGAGTGTGCTGATATGGTGATATATCTAAAATTTGGGGCAATTGCATCCATGCCCCCACTTTCGAAGCCAATTACTGTTTTACCCCCACTTTTTAGGTTTGCAGTTTTACCCTCACTTTTTGAATCTGAATCAGCCCTATACGCCCACTTCTAACAGCTGGTTTTAACGGTGTTAGTTGGAGAGAGAAGGACATTTATACCCTTGGTGGTTATTGTATTTTTGCCCCAATTTTTTTTCAGCCATGTGATTTTGCCCCTATTAGGTGATTTTAGCTTGTATGATTGTTATAAATAATTCAAATATAAGCATCTCTTGTGATGTTTTTGTACTTTAACTAAACAAAATCACAAATACTAGCCAATTACAAAATTTGATTAACATATCGACAGCATTTCGACAACATCTACAAAATTTGCCCAAAATGCATTGGGAGCGGCTGGCTTAGCGTAGAAGAGCCGCCGCCGCCGGCCCTCGACGCGGCTGCCGGCCCTCCCCGCCTCGCGCGCGCCCGCGGCCGCTGCCGCCGCCGGCCGTCGCCGCCTCGCGCACGCCCGCGGCAGCCGCCGCCTCCGCGTGCGCCCTCGGCCGCCGCCTCCGCGTGCGCCGCCTCCGCTCTCTGCCCTCGGCCGCAGCCTCCACGCGCGCTCTGCGTGCAGCCGCCGCCGCCGGCCGTCGCCGCCTCGCCCGCGCCCGGGGCAGCACCGCCTCCGGCGTGCGCCCGGCGGGCCGCCGCCTCCGCCTCGCCGCCGCCTCCGCGTGCGCCCGCCGCCGCCGTCTCACCCGCGTGCGCCCGCACGTGCCGCCACCCGGCCCGCCTCGCCCGACGCCGCCTCCGTGTGCGCCCGCGCCCGCCGCCGCCGTCGGCGCTAGGATTTCGCGTGGAAGAGCCGAACGGAGGTGGAGACCGACGGACTGGGGTGGAGACTGACTCACAGGCCTTATCCATTCCTTTAGGGGTACAAAGGTAATCTCATATTTTCTAAAACCTTTTTTTTAATTTCCTTTCGTATTTTTTTAACACAAAACATGGGACCCACCAAACGGCTGTCACAAGTGAGGGTAAACGGTTGGTTCAGATTCAAAAAGTGGGAGCAAAACTGCAAACCCTAAAAAATAGGGGTAAAACAGCAATTGGCTTTCAAAGTGAGGGCATGTATGTAATTGTCCCCTAAAATTTCGGTCCGGAATTTCCTAAATTTTGAACAAATATTATCAAAATTCACAAAAATTTTAAAAATTTCGGTCGAAATAATATCATATCGGGAGGTCCGATATGACCAAAATTTCCGCCCCAAATTTTGAGCCCCGCTGATACAACGATGAGTACACCGGTTAAAATTTTCTGGAGTACGACACCACCGAGGCACCGCCGTGCCCCATGAACGCCATGGTATCACCGGCATGCGCGCGTGGCGCATTCTACTTGGCCTCGATGTCTCGAGCGATGGTGCAGCTGCCTACAGGTGAGCAACAGGAAGATTACCGCTGGTCGCTGCAGTGGCGTGTCAATCGACTTCTACCGGCAGGTCGATCGGCTTCGTCATCATGCCGCTCGCCGTGCCAGCTGACCACGTGGGGACAGGGTGAAGATCCAACGATACGATGGCGGAAACAACATCTCCTGGAGAAGGTGGTGAACTTGGTGGTGGTGTACTGGACTAGGATCTGGTCGACCAATGGGACGGCAGCGACGAACACGATGATGATGCCATTGCTGAAGAATCGGAGGAAAGCGGTTAGCGATTATTGTTGGGAGCATAGTTTATTTAGCCTAAGACATTTAACGGTTGGCCTTTTCAAACAGCTATATCGACAGCTATAACTGGCTAAATAGAGTTATAGCGGCTAATTGTACATGAGAGCAAATAGCTAGCTAAGACCTTTCTCAAACAGTTATAGCACGAGATTTAAAATCTTGCTTGGGAGCAACAGGATAGACACTTGGCAAAGAGAAGGGCTTAAAAAAAGAGTCCATAGGACCAGAACCCGTGTCTCGCTCCAACTTTCGTGTGACACACCGGATCTGCAATAAAGCATCTTACCTTATACCAATAAAAGTATACACATGGATACGATACCTCGATCCTTTTTGTTCTCAGTAACCTGTTCGAGACCTAATTCTACAGCGGCCAGCATACACGAAGGAATGCAAATAGAGTAGTTGGGCTTCTCAAATAGCTACAGTGACATTTATAACGGACTAAATAAAGCTATAGTGGCTAATTGTACCTAAGAGCAAATGGCTAGCTAAGACCCTTCTCAAAACAGTTATAGTCGAAGATAACGGCAGCTATAGCCAGAGATTTCAAACTGTGGTTGGGAGCAACGAGATGGACACTTGGCAAAGAGAAGGGCTTAAAAACGGAAAAGTCCATAGGACTGGAAGCCGTGTCTCACTCCAACTTCCGTGTGACACACCGGATCTGCAATAACGTATCTTACCTTACCTATAAAAGTGTACACACGCATATGCTACATCGATCCTTTTCGTCCTCAATAACCTGTTCGAGACCTAATTCTACCATGGCCGGCATACAGG